GGTTCAGCACTAGGATATACATCAAGGAATGAGACAGCGGGGCCTGCTAATGGACTGACTGGATGTGAGAAAGAAGGAAAGATAACGAATGACTGAGGATAGTAAAAATGGGGGAGAAAGGTATGGCTCCTTAGGAGGCCGTTGGGAAATCAGAGGTGGAGGTGAGACCCTAGAGGTAACTGGAGAGTGTTAACGGCATAATGATTACGTTGCTGGACTCCCATGTAGTGGACTGTGGTTTAAGTCCCAGACTCGGTGGTTTTAAACTCACCATGGTCACATGTGCATGCATGCCCAAGATCCCGAGAGGAGAACAGAGAAGGGATTGCAGTGTGGCCATCTCCCTGGGGGGCGATTTCTAGCTTTCTGTCTCTGTCTCTCTCTCTCTGGTGAGCGCTGGTGCCCTATAGCAAAATCTCTTTAAATAAAAAAAAAAAAAAGTAAATGATCAGCTGTGTCAGAACTACTAAGCAGTCAGTTGTGAAAAGGACAGAAAAGACAAGTCTAAGAGACAAGACTAAGAAGTGACCACAGATTTGGCACTGGTGTGCTGATGGAAATGACCTAAGAGAATACAGTTAAAGATAAAGGAGAGGGAAGGGAGAGACACAGGAGCCAAGAAGGGATGGAGTCCAGGATATAAGTAGAGGACAGCCTCAGAAAAGAAGGGGACAGCCTGTAAAGTATGGCAAGAGGGAAGGCAAGAGGAAGGGGTGTGTGCAGGCTAATAAAGGGAGCCAAGGCTACATGGCCACCCCCAGACATCCTGGGGGCCCCAGGTCCCCAGCCCAAGGCAGGAGCAGACACAGGCCAAAAACTGTCTCCATTTCTAACACCACTTTGGTGTCACTGCACAGCTACACTTGAAAGGCCTGGGTGAAAACAGTCAAGTCTACCAAACAACAGCAGCACCCCCACTTCTGAAGCAGAGCTCAATCACCGCTTTACCTCTCATTAGTGAAGGTGGACTCCCTGGCCTCAACTTCATCCTGATTTTCATTCAGCCCCTGTAAGAATCAAAGAGGTCTTAGATCATCCTAGAGATCTGTCAATCCATCTGCCCTATTCCAAGAACCTGGGGACCCAGGTCTGAACACTTTGAACCAGTACATGGAGGCCCAGTCCTACAAGAAAAAAACAACACTTCTTTCAGGGACCTAAAGAGCAGAGGTCTCTGTCTTCAGATTATAGACAATTTAGCCATGCCAGGTTCTGTACCCTGGGGCTTAGGCCTGCTTTATGCTTTAGTATGTGTTCTCCTGCATGCTCTTCAGGCTGAGCCCCACTGTCTGGAATCCAAACGACATGCACCATCCAAGGTCCCTTACCTTTGGCACAAAGGTTGAAGGCCCAGCAAACAGACAGAGGTAGAACCTGAAGCAAAAAAGTATAAAGTGAAGACCAGCTTCATAAAGTCTTGAGAGAAGCCCTCATCCTCTCCTCCTGCCTGCCTGGGGCCCTGATGATATACCCCAATAGCACTCTAGTCCACCGACTGACCTGAAAGAGCAACACTACTACCCTATGCTAAAGTCCAGGCAGTACACTGGCCCCCAGTACTCACTTCTTTGCTTTGGCACTGTTGGGGTAGTCTACCACCATGCCACCGGTGAAGCCAGCCTTGGTGGCCTGGGTCGTGATCAGTTCCAACTGAGGAGAAAGACAGTGAGTCAGGCAGGGAAGGATAGAGGAACAGACAGCTCCATCTCCACTTCCCTTAATTAACCAGTCTGCTCCCAGGATGGCTCTTGCCTGGGAGGACTGGAAGTTTTATCCGACTTCGCCAATACCAAATCCCCAAAAAGGCACAAAGGAAAGTGCAGCCTAAAACCAGTCATGGCACACACCTCATGCAGGAGAATTATGGAACAAAGCAATTCCTCTAGTTCTTATATTGTAGGCCAGGGATCCATTTCTCTACTTAAACCTCTGGAAGTAAGATCACCAATTGGAAGCCAGGCTCATTTGCGTTATTAGTAAGGAACAGTTCATCATTTGTCTTCTAAGTCTGTACTTTATAAGCTTACCTGATCTAGGTCCCTCCCCCTTCTCTGAACTGCAGGTTGAGGGGCTCACCTGCTCTGAGTTCTCAGGGTACAGCTGCAGGACAGCTCTGCCTCCACGAACCTACGAGCAACAAAAACATCATTATCTTACAAAACCTCCTAAGGTCAGGAACTAGACACTATGCCCTTCCTTCATTCATGAAATATTTACTGAGTTCACATTATGTGCAGACACTGTTCTTATGGCTGGAGACACAGTTATGAACAAGAGATAGCCCCTAAACCTTTGGAGCTCATGTTACAGTGGGAAAAACAACTAACTGTTATAGGGACATGTGCCAAAAACTAATTGGGATAAAGTGTTAGAGAGTGACGAACTGGCAAGTTCTCTTTTGATTCAAGGAAGCCTTTCTCTGAAGGACAGTTGAGCAGAGATATGAGTCCAGTGGAAAACTGACTACTTAAACAGACGAGGAAAAAGCATCTCAGCAGAAAGAAGGGCAAACAAAGGCCCTCAGAACTTCAGGTTAACACCCATGTGTATGTGGGAGAAGTCATGTAATGTAAAAGATCAGTAGTAATCTACCCTAGGAAACTTGGTGGGGAAGGGAGGTGCTAAGGGAATACAAAAAAAAAAAAAAAAAAAAAAACCAGATCTTTTAAAAAGTAAAATAACTCACTTTTATGACTTAGGCCTTAACTATCACCTAATTCTGGTAAAAACTGAAACCAATCATCAGTTCTGAAGATAAGCTAAAGCTACCAAAGGCTCTCCAAGTGGTAAAATATCACCCTGTGTCCCATCCAAGGAAACACACCAGCAGTGGAGTGAGTAGTGGGGAGTCACAGGCAGTAGGCACTCTGGAAGGCGTACTCTATGTGGCCTGGACACATCTTCGTCTCCACTCTGCTCAGTCCATGCCCCCAAAACCACCTTCTCATTACAATTCAGCATAGCAGACACAAGAAATGCAATCAAGAGACATAGGTCCTATTTCAAGTTAGTAAATTGGTCTCCAATTTTGATTATTGGTGTATTCTGGGTTTGATTAGAGACTGTCAGCACACTGAACTCGAGCTTCTGTTTAGTATAAGAAACCGTACAGAAGTAACCATAAGTCCATGCCTATACATCCCATCTGAGTGGCTTTTCCATTATGGGACACCTTGACTTCATCACTCTAACTGCAGGGCAAGGGAGGGACAGGCAGCCCATCCACATCTCATACTCACGAGAACAGAATAAAGAGAAGAAAAAAAGCAGTACAGGCGCTTGGCAGGTATGTCGGACTTCTTGTTAGCATTACAGAGCCACTGCACAGCAGAAATGCTAAAAAGAAAGGGACCTAGTCAGAACAGACTGCTCCACATTGTTCCCCCCAGTCTCTTCACCATGGACTCTGCCACTATACATGGAGGAATTTCAGGTGAAGCCCCCTGCCCAGAGCTCTTCTTGAAAGCACAGGTCCACTCCAGGTCACTATTCGACAACACTGGACCAAACCACATATACAGAAGGGCAGCATTACTTCCCTCAGCCAATATAAAAGAAACTTTAATTTTTTTTTTTTTTTTTTTGGTCTCAGGGTTTTGTGCACTCACCATAGACATAAAGACAGAGGGAGAAAAATGAAAAATCACCCCCTAGGGTGAACGGCCACACCGCAATCCCTTCTCTAATTCCCTCTTGAGATTTTGTACACATAAGCAAACGCGGCTGTCTTTTTCTTTTTTTTTCATGACACTGGGTCCAGAATTTGAACCAGAGTTGGCCATGTGGGATCCAGCAGACTTAACCTCCACACCACCAGATGACCCCAACCCTGTTTCTATATCCAGCTCAAGTTTAAAATTAGTCAGCAAGTAAAATTTGTCTGTTTACTCTCCCTTGTTCCCTTCCTCTATATGAACAAACACTTTACAGTACTTATGCATTTGCTCTCATAAGTTATTTCCTTCCACTGTACTTTTTTCTTTTCTACTATACTCTTTTTAAAAAGAAATATTGTATTTATCTTTATTCATTTATTTATTTTAACATGCCCAGAGAGGGACAGAGTGAGAGAGAGCAAGAGAGTGACAAAACAAGCTACCAGGTCTAGGACTCAAACTGCAGTCAGTCATGTGGGAGTCCAGAGCTCTTCACCACACCACCTGCCAGCTTCTCTACTGTACTTTTTTTTTTTTGGAGAGGTTTTAGCTATAGGGCGCGTGCGTTCGCCAGACAGAGAGAGACAGAGAGACAGAAAGCGAGAAATCACCCCCCGGGGGATGGCCACGCTGCAATCCCTTCTCCTCCATTCTCCTCTCGGATCTTGGGCACGCACACACATGTGCACTGTTTGAGTTTAAGCCACCGGGTCTAGGACTCGAATCACAGTCAACTATGTGGGAGTCGAGGGACATAGCCATTACGCTAACTGCTGGTCTCTCTACTGTACTTTTTAAGAGTCTTCACAATTCATAGAATTGAAACCTTGGGACACCCTTGGGAGGTGATTTCTTGCTTTCTGTCTCTCTCTGGCAAGCACACATGCCCTATAGCAAAAAATCTAAAAATATAGTAATAAAAAAAGCAAACCTTAAGGAGTGGGGCCAGCAAGTGGTATAGTGGCTAAGGTACTGGACTTTCACATGCCCAACAGCAGTCTGAATCCCAGACACAGTAGCTTGAAACTCAAGCCTGGGCACACATGCGTGTGTGCCCCAAATCCCAAGAGTAGAATGGAGAAGGGACTGCGACATGGCTATTCCCCTGGGGGGATGATTTCTCACTTTCTCTCTCTGTCTCTCTAGTGAGTACAGGTTTTTCTATGCTCTCACTCCTCTTCACAACACTGGTGGGCTCCATGCCTCCCTAGTACATACGCCACACTCAGATTTATGTTAAGTTGCTTGGCCCACATCTTATAAACCAAACACTATTCTGGGACCAGCAGTTAGCGTAATGGCTATGTCGCTGGACTCCCATGTAGCCAACCACAGTTCGAATCTCGGACCTGGTGGCTTAAACTCACGCCCGACACATGTGCGTGCATGCCCATGGGGCGTGGCCATCCCCCCAGGGGGTGATTTCTCACTTTCTGTCTCTGTCTCTCTGGCAAGTGCACACGCCCTATAGCAACCCCCCCCAAAAAAAGGGACTTTTATTTCCAATACTCCACAGCACCTTGTCTAGTGTCTTACATACAACAAATGTTTAAAAAAGTTTGCCACAGACAGATTATACCACTGGCCTTTGGTATTCTGCAGCTAACATCTCATCCAATCATTACTAAAAAACAATAAATACCCTTGAAATGTCACCCTCGCTTGTTCCCAGATATAATATTAATTTTTTTCCTTACACAGGCCTCTATTCCACCTTTATATCATTCAACCTGGACCACTGAAGTAGATCTCCCCACAACCCCATGTAATGACTTTAACCTCCTTATTCCCTACTTCTACTCCCATGAACAAAACTACACCAAACAGTAAACAGAACTTACCACAGAACACAAAAGAAAAAGTGATTATAATAGCAATTTTAATGTTCTAAAATTTGTTAAGGTACCATGCACATGCTCAAAATTTGACCCTGATAATTTAGAAAGGATTCCCAAGTCACTGAGGAGTTTAGAGCAGTCTGGGCCCACTCCACTGGAGTTCTTCAAAAAGGAAACAAGATGGCTGCTAGGGCCCACAAGATGGCTCCTAGAGGCTCAAAGACCCCACCCCCACCCATGCATACACACAAAGCAGACAGACTCCATACCAGAGGAGCCTGAACCTGGCAATGCAAGATGATCCCAGGGACAAACAGTTTTGAAATACAAAAAAAATTTCTTGGGGGAGTACCAGTAGGTGGCATAGTGGCTAAGCAGTTGGACTCCCACATGGCTAACTATGGTTCAAGTTCTGGACCTGGCAGCTTACTTTCTCACTTTCCCTCTCTATCTGGTTCTCTCTGTAAGTCCACATAAGCCTATAGCAATTAAAAAAAAATTATAATAAATAAAATAAGTAATTCTATTTAAAAAACTTTCTGGGGACCAACAGTTAGCCTAATGGCTTTGTCGCTGGACTTCCATGTAGTCGACCGCGGTTCAAGTCCCGGACTCAGTGGCTTAAACTCACGCCAGGCGCGCGTGTGCATGCGTGTCCAAGATCCTGAGAGGAAAATGGAGAAGGGATTGCAGCGTGCCAGCCCCCCCCGGGAGGTGATTTCTTGCTTTCTGTCTTTCTGTTTCTGTCTTTCTAGAGAGCACACGCACCCTATAGCAAAATCCTCTCAAAAACAAACAAACAAACAAACAAAAAAGCTTTCTGGAGCCTTGCTAGACCTTATAAATCTGAAAACCTCAGAGAACGTTTATTTCTAAGTATTCTGTGTGCGACTGTTACACAGCCAGGTTTGGTAAGCACTGACCTATAAAACTAAGAGAAGGAAATGGAGGCCCTCACCTGATACAACCATCAAAGGAACCTGGTTTGAAGGGAATGCCCTGGCCCATGTCCCCCAGAAGCAGGTCTCCCTCTGTGTCTCGGTCCAAGGCTGCATCTAAATTGAAGAGGAGGAAGTCAGAGAAACACACGATACCTACAGCTGCTCCATACTCATGAGGGTAACCTGTCCTGATGCCAAATAGGACATACTTACCCAGCATGGCAGGGCTGATGTCAATGCCCACCCAATAGTGTCCATTATTAGAAAGATAGTCTCCACTAAGCCCAGAACCACATCTGGAAGAGAGACAATCAAATAGGGACTCAGTGTGAATATCAAAGACATTCCACTGCCTAGACAATGTGAACCAGGTCTCAGGATCTTACCCAATATCCAACAGATAACAGGGCTGACCCTCAGGCAGATAAAGGAGCTCCAATGCTCGTCCTGCCATCTTGGTCTGGATATCAATCAAGCGTGAGCTGGGAAGGCAGAAACACAAGCAAGTGGTAAAGGAGCTGCCTAGGCTAATACTTCCACCAGGCCAGAAAAGGCCAAGGAAAGAAAAGAGACAATTCTAGTTAGGTACCCTTCCCTGACCCCTTTATCTGGTAAATCTAACTTGGGCTCAACAAACTCAACTACAACTATTTAAAAGTGACCCCAGAAGTCCACATAATGCAGCAATATGCTATTTTGTTGTGACATAAGTTATAACCATAATTATAACTCATCTACAAAGAGAGTTGAAGAGGACAAGCCATTCAGATAATAAACATCAGATATCTGCAACTCTTACCAGGTTTTGATGCTCTATGATTTAAGAACATTTTTCTGGAAAAATTATCTATGCATTTACTTCCACACATAAAGATCAACAATGCACAACAAAAACCTACAGCAGACCTGTCCATAAGAAACGTAATGCAAACCACATGACTTTCCAATAGACACCATTAAAAGAAAATAAATATTAACAGTTCATTTAAGCCACTGTGTATATATTACTTAACCCAATGTGACAAAAATATTACTTCAATACTTAACATTAAAAAATCACTAAAATAGTTTACATTTTTCCATACCAAGTCAGTGAACAAAACAGATCTAAAGTAAACGTGGCTTTCACAAGATCAAGGGAAAGAATCCAAATGGAAAAGCCCCAAAGTCCCTCAGCTAGAAAAATGTTTACATTTGATACATAAAGACAATTAGACCAGAGAATTCTGCTGAGCTCACTCTTGGACGCTAATTTGAACTGAAAGGAGAGAATGCATATCTGCAGAATTTTCTACAGAATAGCTTAAATTGGAAAAGGCAGGCTTGCAGTACCTACTCCAGCATTTACCTGCAAAATGATTGTGTAGTTGCACAAATAACTATCAGCTATGAAACTCAGACAATGCTTACACTAGCGGCTGTGGCAAAGATTTAGCTAAATAATACAAATACAATAAACATACTATGAATATCAATTCGCTTCCCCCCAATTGTACTGAAACTTTACCAGTGTCCTGGTAAATAATATAGGCCTCCTGCCTATTTTTCCACACATTTAAAACAAGCTGTCGCACTGATCTTTGAAAACCACCTAGAACAGTAGGTACTATCACACACACGCACACCCCCTCAAAGCTGAGGTTTCCGAGGCCTAGACTGTTCGGTGACTTTACCGGGGTCAGAAACACTATCAACACTCAGGCCTCTCCCTTCTCCCACTCCCAAATTCTACATGCGTTCCAAGCAATGCCCGAAATCAGGGCAACTTGCCGGTTCCCGACACCCGAAAGCTACACAATATCCAGGCTCCGCTCACTTGCGAACGTATTTCCGGGCTTCATTCTTGTCATAAAACTGTGGAAGAAAATAAAGAGAAATAACAGGTAGCATATGAATCTAACGCGGCAGGCCTAAGAGAAAAGCCCGCGAGCCAAACGCCTCACCAGCTCAGGTGGTCCGCCGTGCTCCGGTCTCCGGCCGCGAGACAACATCCTCACTCTTCAGCAGCACGCCGGGTACTGGCGTCTCTCAGAGCCTGGCTTTTATGTCATCAGTTCCGCTCCCGCCTCGTAATACGCATGCGCGAACCTCTCTCCCCGCCTTCCTTCTAACCCTATTGGTTATAGGGCCGGCGGGCTGAGACCAAGCCGCGCCTCCTATTGGTCAGTTCATTTTACACCGCCCGCCTTATCAGTTCAAGATGGCAGCCACGCGCGGTCTGTGGTGGTCGCGGCAGTTATTGTGGAGGTGGTGGCAGGCCTGTGGACCGCCACAAATTTCGTCATCGGATCCGGGCCTGGGCACGAGGACTTATACCCGGAGCGACGGCCCATATTCGCGCACCGCGCTCTATGAGCTTCTCGGCGTCCCTCCCACAGCTACACAGGCGCAAATCAAGGCGGCCTATTACCGGCAGAGCTTCCTCTACCACCCGGACCGCAACGCGGGCAGTGCCGAGGCTGCCGAGCGCTTCACGCGCATCTCCCAGGCCTACGTGGTGCTGGGCAGTGCCACTCTCCGGCGCAAGTATGACCGCGGCCTGCTCAGCGACGAGGACCTGCGCGGACCCGGCGTCCGGCCCTCCAAGGCTTCCGCAGCCGACCCTGGCTCTCCCCGCACCCCGCCAACAGCTTCTCGGGCCTACGACAGTGGTCGGGCCGCCCCCGGCGCCAACCGCCCGATGTTCAACTTTGATGCCTTTTACCAGGCGCACTACGGAGAACAGCTAGAGCGCGAACGGCGCCTAAGGGCCCGACGGGAGGCCCTTCGCAAGCAGCAGGAAGACCGAGCCAACAAGGGCTTCCGCTGGGACGAGGTGCGAGACACGGTTTTCATTTTCCTTTTCCTCGGAGTTTTCATCATCATCGGCTTTCGCGTTTAATGAGAGAGAGGAGGGAAGGGGAGCTGCCCCCAGCCATCCCCAAGAAAACGGCTTTTTCTGTCTTCTGAACCCGTGGTTTTCCGTAGTCTACCTCTGCTGGGGTCCGAAGGAACTGAAGCCCCCCTGCCCTCCGCCACCCTCCTCGCTTAGCAGGTGGTGTAACCTGCACATCATACTGAATGTGCCAGAAAAGGAGACTATTGTGCCCAAGAAAGAGGCCCGAAGAAAGAGTCCCGAAAGCCCAGGAGTGAAGGGTTTTCTGGAGTCTCTGGGTACCCGCTTCCAGAAGTTGCCTTCCTGATGTTGTCAACTTCTGGAACACTTGCTCTAGCTATATTGTAAAGCCCCGAGGGAGATTTATCTGCTCCAGCCGCACGTTTATGTCTCGGGGCTCCTCTTTAACCTTGAAACGGGCAATGTGACCAACTGTTGGCTGCCAAAAGAAATTTTCTGGGGTTGTCCAAAACTATATTTCTGTGAGTTCCCCAAGCCCTCCATGAGACCTGACCCAGGGTAAGAATGTAATCTGTGGAAAGCTTGCCATTTCCCTGTAGTCAAGTCCACACTCTCCCTTCTGTCTGTGGCATGTGGAAATGGAAAACAAGGTCATCAAGCATAAGGAATGAGTGTTCCCATGCCCATATTTGATGTATGACCTTGGTGAATTTACACTGGGCATGGCAGCAGAAGAGTAAATCGTTTGCTCTCTTGAGGTTTGTCACGCTTTATTTTTTTTCCATAGTTGTAATTCACAGTGTGTATAACATGATATTAGATGAGCCAAGTTTATCCTTGGGACAGTGTGCCTGCCACCTGGTCTTCCCTTTACCCACCATCTCTTTTGCTAACTGCACCTCATCCCCTCCCAGAAATAGAGCAACAAACTTGGAGTATGGCCTGTGCTCCTGTTTAATATGCAGTGTCTATCACAGGCCCAACAAGCCAAGTTCTTGAAACAAGGCTGCTTGAGGCTAGGAAACTTCAGGGGTTTGGACAGATAGCACTACTGAGGGCCAGGAGGCTTGCTATTTGAGGTGGAGACTAGGTGTCTTACACAGAGCTGGCAGAAGCTTGGTTCTTTTTCTCACCCTGTTTCTACTTAAGCTAAACAGCTGGTCATCACCTGGTCAGAGCTGCCGTAGTAAGGCCTTCTCAACCCTGAGTAACAGGATGTGGAGTGGGTGCTTGAATGTAGGTGCTTGAATGTTTCTGTGCTGGGGTAACCTATGTGTAAAGCTATAGGAGACAAAGAAACCCTTGTAGAAGGTTTACAGCAAGAATGAGAATTCAGGGGCTTGCAGGTGGCGTGGTGGTTAAGGGTGCTGGATTCCTACATGGCGACCACAGTTCAAGTCATGGACCGAGCAGCTTACTTTCTCACTTTCTCTCTCCCCTGCTGTCACTCTGGTCAAATTAAAATAAATAAATAAAGTTAAATAAAATAATTCTTTAAAAAAGAAAAAAGAATGAGAGCTCAAGTTTGGGGTCTAAACAAGCCAGAAGTACTTTTACACATTAATACCAATTCCTGAACTCAGTGTTTTATGTAAAAAAGTATAAAAACCTTGTGTAAATTGAGATTAAATCCAGAGCCTAGTCCAATTTCATCCCTCTTGAAAACTATTCAGTTTTTTCTTGCTTTGGAGGTTCGGGGTAAGCGCCTATGATTCAGTAGTGGAGATTTTAGCCAACTCTTTTGCAGACCTGCTTAGCTCAGGGAGTCTTGGTTTGGGGAAAGGGAGACATGTACTTTTAAGGAGAACATTTAATGTTATTATGTTTCATATTTGGAAAACAAAAGGGAAAGTCTGTTCTTTTGGAAATAGAAACTAAGATGTGGAGCTCAGCAAAATGTAAGAAGCTAGTGATTCTCAACCAAGAAAGCAGGACATGATAGAATTCTTGGTGCAAGGGCATTTTGTTTCTATCAAAAGAGTTTGAGCTATCTTAGGTTTGTAAAAACACAAGAAGTCTTGGGAACCAGCAGTTAGCGTAATGGCTATGTCGCTGGACTCCCATGTAGTTGACTGCAGTTTGTTTCCCGGACCCAGTGGCTTAAAACTCATGCTGGGCATGTGTGCGTGCGTTCCCAAGATCCCGAGAAGAGAATGGAGAAGGGATTGCAGTGTGACCAACCCCCCTAGGGGGTGATTTCTTGCTTTCTGTCTCTGTCTCTCTCTGTCTGTCTGGCGAGCGCACACGCCCTATATCGAAAACCCTCTCCAAAAAAAACAAAAAACACAAGAAATCTCTAATAACATGGGCTCCTTGACTGAGACTCTCAAGTTTGTTATCCCTTGGTGAATATCACAGCCAAGAATGTTCCCCATAGCCCCAGAACCTGGAGATATATAGAAAGTTCTAGAAGGTTTCAAATGGAGCTTCTGAAACATTCCCAAACATTTTGTCTAACTCTAAGCAGCATTGTCAAAAAGTTTATCATTCAGCTCTAAGTCTCTCCCCATCCCCTAGCCCAGAACTAGGTCCACCATAATAACCTGTTCATTTTAGACCAAAGCTGAGCTCTGAGAGATCCTGCTCTCTGCCCTCCCTAAAACAGTCAGGACCTTCCATGGAAAGAGAAATGTGTGGGAGGCTTTTTGAAAGACCCCAACTGGTTCCCATGGTAACATCCCCCTCACCCTTTCCTGACCTCTTGGGCCTTTCCTTTTTCTTCCTAACTTGCCCTAAAAAGGGGAGGTGAAAGTAAACTGTGACAGTAGCTCCTGCCTTTTAGGGACTATTTTTCAATTCCTGATATTGGAGGAAGGCTTAGATATACCCAACTTGTCTTTTTTATTTATTTATTTTTTTTTGAGAGGCTTTTGCCTTAGGGCGCATACGCTTGCCAGACAGACAGACAGAGACAGAGAGCAAGAAATCGCCCCCCAGGGGGGATGGCCACGCCGCAATCCCTTCATTCTCCTCTTGGGATCTTGGGCCCGCAAGCATATGCACCCGGCGTGAGTTTTAAGCCACTGGGTCTGGGACGCGAACCGCAGTAGACTACGTGGAAATCCAGCGACATAGCCATTACACTAACTGCTGGTCCCTGTCTTTTTAATTCTTTTGGTCACAAACTAAAACAAAACACCCCAGAAGTTTGGGCCTAAAATGGAAGACTAGAGTCAGAGGGGCCCAGCTTGCCCTAGGCTGTAGGGGTGGGAACATATGCAGTGCTTGCTAATACAGCACAGGGCTAAGGAAGCAATAAGCACAGGTCGTAAATGGAGAGATACAAACAACAAAGCAGGAATCAAAGATGCATGTCTAGACAATTATGGTATTGTCTTTTGTCTTCCTTAGGACTTTATTCCTCCTGAGCTAAGCTACTTTTCCCCCTCTGTTGCCTTGTATTTATTTATATATTTAGTAAGATTTTGTTATATGGCACGTGCCCCCCAGCGGATGGCCACGCTGTAATCCCTTTCTCTCCAATCTCCTCTCAGGATTTTGGGCACACACATCCATGTACCTGGCATGAGTTTTAAGCCTCTGGGTCTAGGACTTGAACAGTGGTTGACTACATGGGACTCCAGCAACATAACCATTACACCATCTGCTGTTCCTATACATATACATGCACACACACATATATATGTGTATATATATATTTTTTTTTAAGAACTATTTATTTTATTTATTATTATGTTTTAATCTGACCAGAGAAACAGACAGAGAGGGAAAGTGAGAAAGCAAGTCACCAGGTCTGGGACTCAAACTGTGGTCAGCCATGTGGGAGTCCAGCACCTTAACCACCATGTTACCTGCTGGCCCATTGCCTTTTTATTCCTACCTTAGGGCACACATGCCCATCAGAGAGAGGGAAAGTGAGAAATCACTTCCCCCGGGAGGTGGCCATACCACAGTCCTGTCTCCTACACTCTCCTGTAGGGATTTTGGGCATGCATGCCCATGTTCCTGGTGTGATTCTCAAGCCACCAGGTCCAGTACTCAAGTTGCAGTTGGCCATGTGGAAGTCCAGAGCCTTAACCACTATGCCACCTCTTGTCCCCCCACTCCCTGTTGCCCTTTATTATTGAGGAAAATGCCCCTTCATGGATCCCAGGGTTGATGAAGTAGGACTTTGTTCTACTTGCTTCCTTTTGAGGTTCTGACATTTCATTCACCAGATGCACCTTTGGCTTCTGTAATGGTCTCAGTATGAGCCAAGATGCTTAACAATAGCCTCTCAGGACCAGCAGATGGAGTAATGGTTATGTTGCTGGACTCCAACATAGTTGACCGCCATTCAAGTCTCAGACCTGGCTTGAAACATGCTGGGCACGTGTGCACATGTATGCCCAAGATCCCAAGAGGAGAATGGAGGATAAGGGATTGTGGTGTGGCCATCTCCTTGGAGGGGGGGTGATTTCTCGCTTTCTGTCTCTCTCTTTCACTGTCTCTCCAGCAAGCACATGCACCCTATAGCAAAAATCTCTCAAAAAAATAAATAAGTGGACTAGGGCCAGCCCCCTAGCCCAATGGTTAAGGCAGCCAGATCCCACATGGCCAGCTGTATAGTTTGAGTCCCAGAACCAGTAGCTTGAGAAATACACCAGGCCCATGTGTGAATGTGCCCCAAATCCTAACAGGATGGAGAAATGGAAGAGAAGAGATTCCAGGGTAACTATTCCCCATGGGGGGCTGAGGTGCTTTCTTCCTTTCCCTCTCTCTCTCTCTCTCTGGGCAGTGTATGCATCCTCTGGCAAAAAAATTTAAAAAACAAAAAAACTGGACTCTATCCTGACCTTTATCTCCTCCCAGATCTCAGCCCTGTGATGAAGTCACACTGCCACCTGCCTGTGAGCAAGATTGAAGGGGAAGACCTGTCTGGCCTGCCCTCAGCAGCTCAGCTCTTGGATCCAGCTGGCAGTCCTGATGAGTTTGTGCAGAGTAGCTGAGTGTCCCTCTGTCGATGGGTTAAAACTAGTGAGATCTGAGTCTGGACCTCATGACCTTGCAGACACGTCCATGCAGAGTTTATTTCTCATCACCCGTTCTGAGGTAAGGTCCAAGTGACACTATAGATCTAGCCATCTCACTGTTTTGAACCTGGGGTCCTGTCAGTCTTGAGGTAGGTAGACTTTCCCTCCCATCCTTTTAAGTCTCTTTAACGTTCATACGCTCCGCTCTGTGAGGCAACCACTGCTACTGAAGAAGCCTTGTTTCAAGAGAACCAATAGCATACAGATTTGTGGTTGATCAGGCCACAGCCAACCTGCAGGTAGTATTTGACTAAGTATCCTAATAAAAATTTTAGATGAAGCTCAAAACTTTGAAGACTCCTCATGAAAATACAGATTTCCAACCTCTCAAAAAATCAGAAACTCAGGGCCAGCAGGTGATATGATAGTTAAGGCACTGGACTCGCACATGGTTGAATCTGGAATCCAGAGGCTTGAAAATCACACCGGGCACATGTGTGCGTGTGCCCAAAAAAGCCCAAGAGGGGAATGGAGAAGGGAATATAGTATGGCTATCCCCCTGGAGGATGATTTCTCACTTTCCCTCTCTGTCCAGTACGTGCATGTGTGTTAGGGCAAAAACCTAAAAAAAAAAAAAAAAAAAAAAAAAACCAGGAAGAAAACCTGCCACCATTGTGTTCACATAGCTGCTTTGCCATGGGAGAAGCTGAGACATTTTTTTTTTCAAGCTGAGACATTTTATCTCTCTTTTTTTTTTTTTTTTGCTATAGGGTGCGTACACT